CTTATGTTAATTGTTTACCTGTTGTTTCATTTTGCATGTTTTGACTTCATGAATAAAAGGATTATTCAAACGATCCACAGTCGTTCATATGTTGGAAGTAGGTATGAATGAAGACTATCATGAATTGGTGTATAGATTGTCTAAAGTGTGTTAGACATAGCAAAAGTTTGCTACAGCGTTCATGAGTGCTTATGAACAAGTTTTGAGCATTGGAATCACTTCATGGAATTCATCACGAGTGATCGCAAGACGATAATATCATATGGTCTTAAAACCTAGATATATGGTTTATTGTTTGCTGGTTGGTTGTACATTGATAATGCGTAAACGCATCATTAACTTGATGTTATAAAACGCATTGTTGTGTATGATTTAATTAGTGAATAGTAAATGCATATAAGTCGAAGTTTATCTGTTCCTTTTATCCTAAGAGGGTAAAAGCGATATCAGGGCCCCTCGATGATTTGATTTGACTTATGTGTCGGGCCCGGTCAGGACTAAATTGATGTGTTCAATTAAGTTCTATGTCAAATGAATTTGAGATCGAGAAACAAACTGATGGACAATAAGTATGACTATGTTCCATGTGATTGTCCACATGATATCTAGAACAGAGGATCATCCGATCCCTTATCTAAATGGCAGGTTACTGATAGGGATCAGAGTTAGACAGCGTCTTTGAGAGCTACGATTGCTAATCGGATTCTACTTGCATTTATGGTTACTAGACTTATCCAAGTGGGAGACTGTTGGATTAGTGTCTAAGCCCGTAACCATATTTGGTAAGTACTTGACCCGATTGTGCATGGTCCTTTTGGGTTGCCTTCACCAAAGCAACTTGATTGGAGAAATAATAGAGAAAGAGGTTATTATGGTTTATTAATATATTATAAGAATAATATATTAAAAGAGAAATCATATTTGTTTAGTTAATATTGTTCAAGAATTAATTAAGAATTAATTTTGTGATCAAAAGAAATTAACTAAACTAGGGGGACTGAAATGTAATTATGTGATAGTTGGAAGTAGGGCAAAGGATGCCCTAGGGATAGGGTGGACGAATTCAAGGGGATAAGGCCCTAGAATTCGTCCAAGGATAGGGCTTCTAGAATTATCCTTGGGCTGCTTGGTGGCTAAGCAACCAGATAAGGATAAGGACTGAAACCCTAATCCCTACAGCTATATAAAGACCCCCTGGCTTAGGAAAACCGGCCACTAGATTATTAGAAGTCCTAGAGCCGATTTTCTACCTCTCCCCTCTCTCTCTCTTACCTCTCCATTGCTCTTGGTGTTTGTGAGCCATTAGAGGTACTACACTTGTGGTACTTGCTTTCAAGACAAGAAGATTGAAGAATTGAGTTGTTATTACAATATAACAACAAGAGGTATGTAAACCTTTCTCCATTGTAAATTTCGAAATTACTAGGAGCATGCTAGGGTTCTTCATGTGTTCATAATGTTGTGTATCTAATAGCAAAACATAGATCCAATTCTAGGGTTGCATGCACACATAGGATTGTTTGTATAAAACCCATCACATACTCCACATGTAACCAACCCCTTCCATTAAGCATTTAATCGATTAAGCCACTAAGCCAAACTCTCAGATCTTATCCCAAATAGTGTCTTGACACGTAAAGTTGGCAACTTTACATTCTTTTATGACTTAATGGGGCCGAAAATTTAAAAGGAACCATAAGAGTAACTCTAACTCATGCATGGGCCATAATGATTCATCAAGATTGCATTTTTATGAATAAGGGGCCTCAAAAATGCCAAGATCTACCATTCCTAGCTTTTGGAGTAGCTCATACTCTCAAGCATGGATTAAAGGACCATAAAAAGCATAAAACAATCCCTAAGCTAGATATTATCATAAGGAATCATCAAGTCAGGATCTTTATATCTCAAATAGCTTGCAAAGCTGATGAAGATTCTGGATCTTCAAGCTCCAAGTCCACCAAAGCTTCACCACCAAGCTTCCCTTCATTCAAAGGATACAAAAACACCTCCGAAATCACAACAAGGCTCACAAACACTCAAATGGGGGCAAGGGTTTCGTTCTTTGGGTTTTAAGAGATGAAGGTTGGTCATAAGAAACCCCAAAGACAACTTAAGGTGTTTAAATATGGCATAGACCCTAAAATTTAGGGTTTTGCCCATGTTGGACGTACGCCCCTCGTAGCTATACGTATGTCACATGTATGTTGAAGCCTCCTCGATCCGGATGTCGAGCCAGTACGCCTGGCGTACTTATAGCGTACGCCCCGTGTAACACCCGCAGATTCGGGCTAGTCAATTTAGAGACAATGAGCGTCAAAAATGACTTTTTGATAGAAGATTATTTAGAGTAAATATTCTTAACAAAGTTATAGTATATGTCACAAGGGTTCCATACATATAAAGACGTTGGAATCCGAGTTATAACAAAGAAGTTATGACCTGTCGAAGTTTCGCGACAAAAACGGCACGGCGTTGTGTGACATAAAAAGTGAGCTTGAGATAAAATACTTTTTATCCTTATAGATCTAAAATAAAGGCATAGTATATGTTAAACCGAGAGCATTCATAAAAAGAATGTCCAAATCTGACTTCGTATGAAGAAGTTATGATTTTTCTAAGATTTAGCATAGCAGTGCACAACCCGAAATTTGAATTTTAGACCGATCAATTTTTAGCCGACACAATCTAAAAAAGAATTTAAGATCTCGTTAATAGGAGCTCAACGATATAAAGACAGAAGAAAACGGACGTCAGATGACAAAGTTATGAATTTTTAACGGACTTTACATGTCTAAGCCTGTTAAAATATAACTTTAAAATAAACTCAAAATTAGCCGAAGAAATCTAAAGGAAAGTTGTAGAGTACATCGCCACCTACGCGTGGATATAAATAACATCGAAAACGGAGCTCGTATGCAAAAGTTACGGATTTTAGAAGATAATTAGTTTTTGGAGTAATCTGCGAGTGACACATGGCACAATCCTGACCATTGCTTCCTCCCCACGTCTTACCACCAGATGGTGACACTTGGCACTCAATACGACGAGTTGGAGGCTTAGAACTCGCCGAGTTGGGCCATTTTCCAACCCATAAATAGAGGCGCAAATCTCCTCAATTCTTCACACCTTCACCCTTCTTTCTCTCTTAAACTTCTCTCTAACCCCTCCCAAGCCTTAGTACTTCCCAAGTGCTAAGAGGCGAATCCTGGAGCGCCAGAAGGCTCCGAGAAGAAGAGCTTTCGGCTCGGAAGTTCTGCTCCCGCAGAGCCCGGTTCCTAGCCAAACCTCCTAGTAAGTGAGTTATGCTTACCCGATTTTAAGTATAGCTTATATTTAAGTTCAATATCGTTATTATGAACTTATAAACAATATACACTACTAGAAAAAATACTTTCCTTGACAGACGAATTACGACGTACAACAGTTTTATGACAGACATAAAAATGTCTGTCATTAAAGTTTGTCATATTTCATAAAATATAAATGGTCTATGACGGACAAAACTGTCTGTCATAAATTTATGTCGTATGTTAATTTGTTAAATTTTAAATAAAAAATAAACAATGTGCATTTTAATGTATGAATTGATTTGTTTTTTATGAGTTAATAGGATACGCAAAAAACATTATATATATATATATATATATATATATATATATATATATATATATATATTACTTTAATTCCTAACACAATTAAGAACAGTTTACTTCTTTTGTTTCATATTTTGACACATTACTTTGCTTCTTTCTATAATTTGTCCATGTTTTTCGGTTTTTGATATTTTGATAACCTTATTTTGCTCGGTTGCTATAATGTATCCCTGTTTTATTATGTTTCATATTTTTGACCAAATTACTTTGCTCCCTTGCTATAATTTGTCCCTGTTTTTTAGTTGTTTATATTTTGATCATCTTATTTTGCTCCGTTGCTCCTCTGTTTGTCATGTTACTCGTTTCTCTCTAATCGATACTCATTTTGTATAACCGGATCAAGTGAGGGTGTGTTTTGCTCATTTTATAAATGCAAAATGATTTTAGGGATTTTATAAAAGGAAATCTCATTGAGGGAGTGTATTTGTTTAAAAGACTAAGAAGGTGTTTGGTTAAACTTTTAAAATGACTTTTGACTTTATCTTTTGGAAAAGGTCAAAAAGATGTTTGGTAAAGGGAAAATGACTTTTCCTATAGAGTAATTTGAGTCTTTTTGAAAAGTAACGGTTACCTGACTTTTCCCAACTTTTCACCAGCTAAAAATATTGAATTACCATTATACCCCCCATCTACCATTCATTCACATATTATCGATTCCCTCATTCTCGTTCACTCCGCTCACTCTCTTCTCTCTCGCATCGCATCTCCAGACCTGCAACATCAACCGACGACACCGGCGACCTGCAGCACCGGCGACACCGGCGACCTGCAGCAGCACCGGAGACACTGGCGACCTTCAACACCGGCCTTTCTCCATCTCCGATCAGGTTTTTTTTTTCAGTCGATTTCCAACCTCCTGTCTATTTCCGATTTTCAGTAGCAATGATATGCTGTGAAATTGATGAAATATTTCCCTATTTCTGAAATTGATGAAATATTTCCCGGTTTTCTGAAATTGATGAAATATGAAGCCCGATTTTATGAAATTGATATGCTGTGAAATTGATGAAATATTTCCAGATTGAATTGATATTCCTGTCTATTTCTGATTTTCTAGCATCTCTAATAGTGATGTTCCTCCCGATTTCTGAAATTAATATGCTGTGAAAAAAACAGTTTTGTGATATGCTGTGAAATTAATATGAAGCTGATGATATGCTGTGAATTAACAATCTGTGAACTTGATGAAATATGAATTAACAGTTCTGTGAACTTGATGATATGCTGTGATATTCTATTTTTTTTGTTTTGATTAGAATTTTCATAAATTAATGAAATCATTTAGGAAGGTTAATGAAATTGGTTTGTTGCTTAAGTGTTGATACTATATGTAATTCACAGATAATGGATGAAAACCACACTACAATTGTTGATTGTGAAACATCTTTAAAAATGAAAAAACCAAAATTTGGGTGGGATAATCGTAGCTTCATGGTGTTTGTTGATTCATGCTTGATTGAACAAAAAAAAGGTCATAAACCCGGTACCTCCTTTGATAAATTTGGGTGGGAAAATATACAAAAACGCATTAAGGAGAAAACAGGTTACAACCTTGAAAAAAAACAACTAACAAACAAATGGGAGAACATGAAAAAAGAATGGAAGCTTTATGACCGCTTAATGAGGCTTGAAACCGGACTCGGTGGGACGAGAAGCCTACTAGATGCGTCCCCTGAGTGGTGGGAGGAGAAAATAAAGGTATGATTACTATTCTTTTTAATTATTTTAAGTTATGACTGCATATAGATTGAACATATTTGATTTACAATATCTTTTTGTCTTGCAGTACCAATGTGAATGATTTAGCAATATGTGTTATGCTTTGACATTTATGTGTTATCCTTTGACAATATGTGCTATGCTTTAACATTAAGTTTTATGTTTTGACATTATGTGTTTGACATTATGTATTTGACATTTTATATTATGTGTTATTGTTTGTCTTTTTATGTGTTTATGTCTTTATGTTATGTGTTAATGGTTGACATCTTTTTATTTGTATTATGTAGGATGGATAGTGATGATTCTAATTCATCCAATGATAATGAAGAATGTGAAATGGAAGAGTATATAGAATTTGAAATGTTATGTGGATTAGCTTTGCAAGGGATAATACTCGCTCGTAACTTACGGACGCCATGTCACACTTCAGACCGCACAGGGCACATGTTTATTACTGAAGTACTAAATGGCCATCCTAGACGTTGTTATGAGATGTTTAGACTCAATGTACCGGTTTTTAGACAGTTATGCATAGATCTTGCTACAAATTACGGGCTACAACAAACACGAAAAGTATCTATTGAGGAGTCTGTAGGAATATTCTTGATGACTTTGGCTCATGGGTGTAGCAATAGATTTGTGCAAGAATTTTTTAATCATTCGGGGGAAACGATTCACATGCATTTCCATATAGTTTTGAAAGCCGTGCTAAAACTGAGTGCCGACATCATCAAGCCAGACGCAAACTATAATGATGATGTTCTCGAATATATATTAAATAAGCCTCGGTATTATCCAATGTTCAAGGTATTATCCAATGTTTATTTTCTTGGTAGTCAAACTTTAACAAATAATTTATTTATGATATGTTTTTGAATTTGAAGGATTGCATTGGTGCTATAGATGGGACACACGTCAGGGCCTCGGTTCCACAAAAAGATGAAGTGAAGTACATTGGTCGAAAGGGATATGCAACACAAAATATAATGGTTGTTTGTGATTTTAACATGTGCTTTACATTTGTTTAGGCCGGTTGGGAGGGGACTGCACATGATACAAGAATTTTCAATGAAGCATTACAGAGACCAGATCTTAATTTTCCTTATCCAACGGGTGGTTAGTATTTTTTTTAACACAAGTTTTATGTTTTTACTACTTGTTTGAAACGAATAATAAATGTTTGTTTTATTTACAGATAAATATTACGTTATTGATGTCGGATATCCAAATACAAGAGGGTATCTTGCTCCATACAAAGGCACAAATATTCGTTATCATTTCCCAGATTTTCGACGTGGACACACGGCTGCTATTCGTGAACCTCGTGGACCGAAAGAGAAATTTAACTATCTCCACTCATCATTGCGAAATATCATTGAACGAACTTTTGGAGTGTGGAAAGCTAGGTGGGCGTTATTAAGAGACATGCATGTTAATTACAAGTACAAGAACCAAGTGAGAATTGTGATAGCATCGATAGCGATCCATAACTACATTAGAAAGTTTGGTATGTCCGATGAAGCGTTTAATAGGGCACAACAAGAATCCTACAATCCCGTACGAGGTGATACCTGTAGTGATGTTTACGAAGAAGGTTCAAGTACACGTCGCACGAGCGATGATGATTTATATATGGCAGCGATACGGGATATTATTGCACAAGATATAATCACATTGCGAAGATGAATGTAATATTATCTATGATATTTTTTTATGAATTATTTAGAATTTGTATGAACGTAATTTTAATATTGTTATGGTCTAATCCAAAAAATTAGAAATATTTTAAAAGTCTTCTTATGAATTATTTACAATTTGTATGAACGTAGTAATTTTAATGTCATGGTCTAATCCAAAAAATTAGAAATATTTTAAAAGAAATTTATATTTTATATTTTATATTTTCTAATAAAATGTTTACAAAATTATGATATGTGTTTTAAAAAAAAATTAAATATAAAATAATATATGTAAAGTAGTAAATCAATGTAAATATATAAACATGTCCTTTTTAGTCATTTTACATGTAAAAGTTAAACCAAACACTTTAACTTTTGACTTTTTCCCTTCAAAAACTAATCCAAACACATTTTAAAAAATAATTTTTGTAAAAAGTCGTTTTACAAAAAGTCCTTTTACAAAAAGGACTTTCACATTTAGGGCTTTTAATTGCCCTTGACTTCAACGACCGGGAAAGAAAAGGGGCATACAAACGGACGAGCTTATGAACGATCATAGTGAAGGGGAAAACACGAAGGAAACACGAAAAATGGGAGGGGTTCGATGGTTCTGCAACAATCGGTAGGGTGGCCGTCGTCAGAGGCCGTCGTCGGCGTCTGGCTCGACCGGGGAAGAAAGGAGAGCGAAGGCTCGCAGCGGCTAATCCGGAAGCCCTAAACGATCGCGAAGAGGGAGAAGAGACGAAGGCAGCGAGGCCTTCTCTTTCTCGTCTGGTGATTTCAGACCGATCACACTCGAGTGGCGAGCTCCGGTGGTCGACTAGACCGAAGAAGGACGTGGGCAGAAGCAATGACGCTGCTGTGGGGTTGGCTTACGTATTGAATCCCATTTTCCTAATGCTCCAAACTAATAACTTCTTTTTTGTATATTTGAATTAGGAAATGTCTAGTGATACTCCAACGATCGATCAAATACAAAGGTAAGGTTCTATCGAATGTTCCTACATCCAATAATCTTTTAGTTATGCGTTTACTTCATTTTTTTTTTACTTTTAATTTTCATGAAAATGCTATAAGTAGTTAGTGATATATTGATTAGGTTAAAGGCATATCGAATGATTCACTTGGAGGCTTTATCCTGCTAAAGAATTAGTCTAATAAATATGTCTTGCAAATTATGTCCACTAGGTGTTCGATATAATGCTAAGGTGAGTTACAGACTTACAGCTTAATGTTTTGACTTTTTATTGAATAGGTTGAATATCATTGATCAAATAATTCGACTTTTTAGTGAATTCTATTGTTCTACATTGAATATTATCATTATTTATCTTTTTTTTGTTTAATTGTTTGGTTTTGGCTTATTTTAAAGCTTTTGCACCAAACAAATGATTTCTGATGAGGCCAATATTCTGCTTCTGTACAGGGCCATTCTCATAATAATGATTTTACCTGGGTAGAGTCATCTTGACTATTTTTATTAGTAGGTTTGTCTTATACGCAACTATTCATCTTAGACGATATTTTGCAAAGAAAGTTTTGTGTGAAGCTATGCACTACATGTCGAAGGTTTCATACTCAGGTTGATAAAAATCATTAATTTGTTCTAAGAGCTGCTAGATCTTGCATTCTTAGGGAGGAAACCATAAAGTTAACTTCAATGAAGGCATTCGGATATTCCAGTTTCATCCCTACATGACAATCCTGTAAGTGTTGAGTATTTTGCTTTTTATAAGTATAAAATTATGAACACTTTTCATTGTAAACAGAATGATAGAATCAAATGGTGGCCAATTTATTATGAAGAGAATGAATGGATTAGGAAAGTCCAACTTTCTATCAACAATACAATTGCATCTGATGAAACTACACACCTCAAGGTTTGAAATAATTAAATAAAATTAGTTGTTCACGAATGTTGATTTTTTGTTTTATAATTTATATTAAAATGACAATGTGGGCCTGTGGTGGAAACACTCGCGTGTGATATACTGTTGGAAGCTGCCATGTGAGCACAATGTTTCCATACACGTAACTTGTGGGTGGTTGAACCTTGGAAATGGTTAGTCACAGAGTTTGCTGATTATTATGGAGTCTCAGAATCATACACCAAACTCAGGTACTTCAGTTTTCTTGATTAATAATAATAATGAAACTATAATCTCTTATTTTTACTAAAACTTTATCATATAAAACGTTGTTTACGCATCTTTCACAGTCAAATACTTCTCGAACCTTTACCTTACCATTTAAGTACCTAAAATACACTTTAGTCAACATCAAACTTTATTATAACTGCATGTTTATATAGAATTCACATGAAACATATTTTTGTGCTATGTAGTTGAAGATATGCCCATGTTACATATTAACATAACTGTTACTCTTAACAACACTCAGGAATGTTTCAAGGCATGATGGAGCTCTCATAAGTAAGTTCATTTGACAGCAAAGTTATCATCAATTGGATCAAGCAATCCATGGGAACTTAATATAGCCTCACCAAGTGATGGTTGGCTTTACTGTATCAGGGAAGGACATTCTGGAACAACACAAATTCCTCATTTTGATTGGACAGGGTATATTGTTTGACAAAGCTTCCTATTCTTTTTAACACATTCCTCAGTTTTATCTGAATTATCTTTTTCATATGTCCTTATATTTTTGCAGACCATTAAGGCCTTATCCCATATCAAAAAAACGTGTAATACCTGCAGGAATTGAGCTACCTGATTGGGCAGTTGATGTAAGTCATTAACAATCATGATATGTTTGCAGATGTTTTAAATTCATTAGATGTATTTTTCTAATGATATTAAATGTGTAACTTTGTGAGAAACTCCAAAAATCGAGCCCAATAGTGATCTGCAACATCTTACTAAGGTCAGTGAAAGTTTTGGGAATGATTTCCCAAAACCAGATATTGTCATATCAGGTTTTATTTTGACTTAATGACTTAATGTAAGTAAATCCATTAGTTAATTGATGGACTTGAAGTGTTTTACAATATTTACATATATAATTGTTTAATATTTTATTGCTAATATATTAATTTGTCTCAGTTTTGCAGGGAAGAATGAATATACATATGTCAGAGCTTGCATGATAGGGTGCTTGAAAAATGGGATACTTATGTTATAAACTTTATTTACAAGTGATATGTATTTGACAATTACTTTTTGATGAATTTGGAATGTAATTTTGAATGACACTATAGTTCGTGTAATTTAGACAATAAATTTGTAATTTAGTTTGATTAATATTTGGTAGAATATATATATATATATATATATATATATATATATATATATATATATAATGTAAAACCATGACATACAAAGTATGTCGTAAAACTATGTCAAAAATCATGCTGTACAGAACATGTCGTAATTTGAAGTCGTAAATGTCTGTCATAATTACAAAATTTTTACGAATTATGACATTCAAAGCCAGTCGTAAATGTATGTCAAAAATGAATGTCATGTATCTATGTCATAATTGTTGGTCATAAAGGTCTGTCGTAAAATTTATGACAGACCAAATGTTTGTCATTTTCTTTTATGACATGGCTTTCAATGACAGACATTTGTCTGTCATGTATAGGCATTTACGACGGACATTGTCTATCAAGAAAAACCCTCTTTTCTAGTAGTGATATATTGTAAAATATAATATACAAAGTGTTATTATAATATCTTTTAACTACTCGCGGTATGGGGAATCTGGTTTGAAGGGCCGCATAGGGTTGTTGGATTTCCGAAGTGCTATAATGCCAAAATGGTCCTGCCCTCCGATGTTTTATGTCTGGCCCCTGTCTGTACATAGTGGTTGAAAAGTATTTTTTAACATTTATAAAAAACATCACTCATAAATAGTCGCTATAATATTAGACTAAAATCTAGTAATAATGATACTAGGTTTCGTCGAAGGAAAAGACGATTGTTATAAGTGAAGCGTTGTCCGAGTTTCGAGTCATCACTTTAACAAGTGAGTGCATAGTTACTTTCATCTTACATATAGATATGAAGTATTTAATATAAATGACATGTTATGTGTGCATATTATATGCGTTCTTGATATCTATGCTGGATGAACCAAATATACATGTTTTATTTGATTTAAATTGTATATGTATTTTATACCTATAAAAATATTGGGTAAAGATGGGTGGATGAATTGATAAGAGATGAAAGATGATATAGATGAACACTGGCAGCTATGGACTTAGTGCCCTGTAGATGAACATTGGCAGCTGCGCCACAACATGTAGATGTTTTTGAACTACGTGTTCACCATATGTACTCTAAAAATCCTCGCAGCTGCGCCTAAAGGATAATATTGGCAGTTGTGCCTAATAGAGAACATCATAATCTTGGCAGCTACGCCTAAAGGATAATATTGGCAGATGTGCCTAATAGATAACATCGGCAACTATGGACTTAGTGTATGTTGGATAAACCCTGACAGCGATGGACTTCATGCCTATTCCTTAAGACAGTCCTTAGTAATGAATGAATGATGAATAAATGATTCTTAGGGTAGATCCTTAAGAATAAAGAAGATAATGGGGATGAGAAGTTGGGTTAATTGTTTAATGATTAAACATAATAATTATATTATTGTGGGTTGACAACCCTATGTACTCACCAAGTTTCCCAACCTGATCCACTCAGTTTATTTGTATCACAGGTACGAAACTACATTACACTGAGAGATTAAAGGAGATGTACATAACTAGTGTAAATGAATGTAAGGTCTGTTTATGCTTATGTTTATGTATTGACGATGACATCCCAAAGTTTTAATATAAACCAAATACATTTCTTTGGAAATGCTTTGATAATATATTTATCATGTTTTCTCAGAACAAATTCCGCAATATTATTCTTTAACAATGAATACTCTGATTTTCAAATAAGCATAAATAAAATTTTTAAAATGACCGTGAATTTGGGGGATGTCACAGTTGGTATCAGAGCATTAGTTTAAGCGAACTAGAATAAGGATTTATTTATAGACTTAAACTTAGAATGCTAAGCGACGATTGTGAGGAGTGTGTCTAATGTATTTTAGGTAGTACACCTAAATAGACACAAGCACTAGCTTATTTAGGGAAGATGCCTAAAATGCTTTTAGGTGCTAAATGATTTGTGATGCTTTATGATGCTATCATTTGATAGGAACTATGGTCTGTTGCCGACCGGATCTGGAAACTTTATGTGTTCAGATTTCTAAACGTTTAATTACGGTATTAGAACCGGCATGTAACTTTTCGAAAAGAAAATGAGATTTATACGTTTATCGTAAATAAAGTTTTCCTATCTAAATTTTCGTCATTGCACATCAAACGTCTGATTTGGTGCATAGATCGACATGGTGGGAACTAGAAGCGAATTTGGAAATGTTAACGCTAATCAGCGGCCTATGATTGAGCGTGCACCAGAAGTAGCGGATGCACCCGAGCCAATCCTTATGGCAGGAATACAAGCAATGATTCAAATGATGTTGGATCGCCAGATGGAAGAGACAAGGCGTATACTTCAACAAAATAGGGATGAACCTATTGTGCCTGTTGAACAGCCTGAACTAAATGAAGGTTAGTCAGAAGAAGGAAACTATAATAGAACTGTTGGCCAAGATGAACCTCCAGTGGTTAGGAAAAATAACCAAGACAAAGGGATTGAAAGAAACGGCTGCAAGTACGAAGACTTCACGACTTGCAAGCCATCAACTTTTACTGGGAGAGAAGATCCAATTTAAGTTATGGACTGGATTTCTGAAATGGAGCTAGCTTTCATAACGTGTGGTTGCAAGGGCAAGCTACAAACCACTTATGCAGTGCGTCAGTTTAGAAGTGGTGCTATTCGCTGGTGGAACACCTTGGGGAAGACCATAAGCCCCAATGAGCCACTACAACTGACATGAGCAGAGTTCTTGGT